CATGAAATATCTATAGTGCTCTCCTCCTATGGGTCCCTACCCATAGAGAGAGCAAAGCTACAAATATACTCAACTTCACTCCTTTCCCAAGCAATGTAGGACAAGGAGTCTTCCCATGCACTCAAGGGTGGGAAGAGGAAAAGACAGAAAACAAGAGGGAGGAGAGAGATTCTTGAAAATTTGAATCTCCCTCCAACAGAGAGAGAGAGAGATGGGACAGAAAAACAGGGCCGATGACACCTTTCCTGTCCAATGAGGAGAGAGAGAGATGGGAAAGCATAACAGGGCTGGCCGAAGTTAGTGAGAGAGAGAGAGAGAGAGAGGAATGGGAGAGCATAATAGGGTCGATGACACCTTTCCTCTCCGATAACCCTATCATCCATTAGACTTGCTACGCTCCATAGTTCCTGTTGATCTGACACTCTTGTTATTGGTGAGCTGTCACTTCTAACAAGAACCTATCTTTCGAAGTGCGTCGTTGGCCTTGAATTCTCAAACTCACCTAAAAAATTCACATCCACGAAGTATCTCTCTCGGTCGCAGGTCCCAAATTTGCTACCGCCAACCAGAACACAAGACCTGCTCCTTCTACTATGGCAATCCTGTTCTTCCTGCAAAACCAATCCAAATAGTAGAATCAATTTGAACTACGAAACCAATCCAAACAACAAGGAAGTACCTCCTCCAGTTGTTGAATGGAGAAGCAGCAACAAAGCAAGAGGGCAAGAGAGAAAGAGAGAGAGAAAGAGGGGAAGGGGTGGGTTGGGCGGGAGTAGGGGTGGATTTGAGTCGAGCCGAGCAGAATTTTATGAAGCCTGAGCTCGGCTAGAGACTGTTCTACAAGGCTCAAGCTCGAGCTCGAGCTTGGTTCGGGCCAGAACCTTGAGCTCGAGCTTGGCTCAAGTCAAAAATTCATAAGCTCGAGCTCGGCTCAGCTCAAGCTCCGTTTTGAGAAAAAATATTTTATAAAAATAAAAAATTATATATAAAAATATTTTTATTTGATATTTAAAAAATAGGATTTATAATAATTAATAATTATAATATAATTATTTTATATATATATATATATTATTTTCTATACTTTTAATATATATATATATTATATATATATATTAAATATCACATATATATATATATTCGAGCCGGCTCACGAGCCGAGCTTTAGTAGGCTTGAGCTCAGCTCGTTTCATAATCGAGTCAGTGAATTTGGCTCGAACTCGGTTAAATTGAGCCGAGCAAAGCTTTTTACGAGCCGAGCTCGAGTAGCTTGTGAAAAGCTCGACTCGTTGCCAGCCCTAGGCGGGAGTCGAATTCCAAAATCTAGGAAGGAGATGCCGGTGAAAGATAGATGAGATTTAATGGAAGGGTAAAATTGACATTTTAGCCCTTCCATCAATATTTAACAACAATGGTAATTTTCCGAAATAGTAGGGGTAGTGTTAGACAATAGTCAAACAATAGGGGCATACTTAGTCAATTAGCTAAACAAAAGGGTAGTTTAATAAATTTGCCCAAATTAAATTTGAATTTGAATAGGGCTTCGAAATTGCCTCTGCCAGTGCAGAACCCACCTGTGAAACTCCACCCCTGACCACAAGCAATGTTGGAGCCAACACTAATGGTCCGTTTGGTTGCCGAGAAGGGATGGGATGAGAAAGGAAAATTTTATTTTCTCAGTTAGGGTGCCTATGTTTGTTTGTCGAGACCTACTATCCCATAGAATTTGCTTTCCGGTGTTTGGTTGATGTGAAAACTTTGCAAGATGTTTGATTTTAGCAAAAACGGTATCCAATTCCACAACACAGCCCTATCCTATTTACGGGATGACATGGCATAATACTGTTTGATTCTTACCACGTGGCAAGCTGACATGGATATATTAAAAACATGTATGTTTAAAATATGTCATATCCGTACTATTTTAAAGTTAGCAAAAGTAACTCCCAAGATCATTTCAAAGCAAGCAAATACATGTGGCATCATTTAAGCAAATATAAAACTGACATAACCACCAAACTAACTATCAAAACAAAAACGACTATTGATTGTGACTGGGGTTCTTTCAATGCCTTCACCTCCATGTCAGTATCCTCTACGTAGGTCCTAGAGGTGTTACCAATTGTAGGTTGTTTGGGTGGTGGATGCATATTACGCTAGTATCAATGTAATTGAGATATGACCTCTTCATAAGTGCTATACGAACAAAAAATTGCTCCACTAAATTTGTGTACTTGAGCATTGCACTCTGCCCATGTGAAATAAATTCGTGGTTGGCGCCCTTTGAACACAACATAATATTTTGCCATTTTAGACCTATAACCATATAAGCACATATTCCATCAAACCCATACCCGATTAACCTATAATTGAACTTGCAAATAAATCATCCACCAAGTCCAATATGAAATCAAACATATGCTACATATGGAACCTCTAAACCCCATATTCATAAACTCAACTAGTAATTAATTTTATCAACATAGGAAGCTCTGAAACCCCTATGTTGAGTTAAAACCTATCATTCAATGAGTTGAAGACCAATTCAAAGTAAATATTTAATCACCCATGCTACTCAAGAGAAACACTCATACAAATCTCAATGAAAAAAACATGCTTAAATTCAGAAACTCAACTACTATATCATTCATCAACATGGGAACCTCTGAATCCCATATGTTGATTTAAAACCTGTCAATCAAAGAGTTCCATCCATACTGATTTCAAGAGACTAATCCATACTAATTTCAACAAAGAAAACCTATTTAAGTAATCATTCAATCAAATAGTTGAGCAACACATTTAAGTTCATAAACTCAAGTAATAAAATTTGTTTAATGTCATCAATTCAACGAAATCAATTATCTACATGGGAACCTCTAAATCCTATATATTGAGTAAAAACCTATCAATCAAAGAGTCAGAATATACATTCATCTTAAGTTGGAAAAACCCGTATAAATTCATTAACCCAATTATGCCAAATCAGCATTCACATGGGAACTTGCAAATCCCATATATAAAGTGAAAACCTATATTTATCTTCATTTAATCATCCACTTAGGTAATGTTCAAGTCTTCCACAAAAGAGGATTGTTTCTATCGATTGGTCAAGACAAAACCAGTCAAGACATGTTTGAGTCATATGTCAATCTAAGTAATGTTCAAGTTTTCCAAAACATGAAAATGTAGCCAATAAACAACCCATAAAGCATAACAAAAATGTGGGGTGTTAGTGAACCATATATTCATTAGTGTCTCGAAAAAAGGAGTGTTACCAAAGTAACTTCAGTTAAGTGGACCCAACTTCAAATCTAACCATGTCTTCCTCAATTCCAGAGCCAAGGCATAAAATGCTATTTCCCGATTTTCAAACTCAGTCAGATAATCAATTGCCCTTATGAGGAAGGAGGGGTTGTGATCCCCTAAGTTCAATACATCATCATAAATATTTTCCTTCTTCAGCAACCCGATTCCCTTCTCAACAGCCGAAGCCAATGACTTAATGCTAGATGCAATCTCATGTACTTCTTCAGCAACTGCAGTTTCATATGACTTTCTCTTGCCAAACCCCTCCACTCAACTGAGCTACCCTCCTTGGGTGGCTTAGTCTGAAGAGTTGAGTCACAAACATTGTCTCCATCAACCTCATCAAATACAGGCTCTTGCATTGTCGACATGCTAGTGGTTTCACTCACTGATGTTGCCTCATGCATGTTTAGTTCCTTGGCAGTGAATGCCCCAGTGCCAGTTACTTGATCATTTCCACATACTATAGCCACTTGGTCATAGTTGTGGATGGATTTTTTCCTAAACTCCTCTGCTTCTAGGTTTCCCTGTTTAGCTGTAATGGATCAATTGCTACCAGTTCATGTCTTACTTGTGTATTGTAATATTTAGGATGAATATCATATTGAAAGTTACCTGAATGTATTCAATCCACACACGGGGCTCTACATCGATGGTTTTAGTTATGTCATTCTAGGAAAAACCACTAGAGTTGATGATGTTCATTATCATAGAGAAGTTCTTCTTTGTTGTCTTCATTCAATTCCTAATGTGGTTTTGTGTAAACTCCACTTCATATTTCAGACTTATGGCTCTTGCAGCTACAGTGTATGCCGGAGCCTTAAAGCTCTTGTCAACCTTGTGTCCAAGGGTGACTTGCTCCACTAGTGTTTCAATCAATGTGTTATCCATCTCATTCGAGTAGATTAGGATTCAGCCTTGGTTTGGTGAAACCCCAAAGCAATGAACAACCTCTTTCAAGCACATGTTCATCCTAAGCATGAGTGATGATTCTTATATCTCTATCAAGAATCTAATCATCATGCATACATTAAGATCTAGCAAATCTAGGGTATCGATTCAGTTGAATGAACACCAACCGAATTGTGCAAGTTATCTCTAACCTTGCACTCAATTCGGTTCTTGATTAACAGATCCGAAATCCTAGAGTCTTTCTCAAGCACTTTAGGATTTCCAAGAATGAGGAACAGTTTGGCCAAACAGAGTTAATGTTGTCTGAATTCTCTCTCAAGTAATTCAGACATTACAATTTCATGATCTGAAATTACAGATCTGAGATTACAAAACAGCAATTCGGCTAACAATTCTACAGTCAAATTCCTAATCAAGAATCATCAAGATTGCATCTACTCCATTCGAGTATACATAAAAAACTAATCACAAATCTGAAATTACAAAATTCATGCTCCAATTACAGCAAGGAAGGAAAATTAATGGAGAATTCAACTTGAAACCCTAGTTGTTGTTAATTACCAAATGCGCAGAATTCAAAGAAGAGACAACCTAAATCTCCAATGGCTTCTTCTCCTTTTGAATTAAGCTTCTTCTTCTCTTGAAGTTGCTTGAATCTCCTTTCTTCTCATCTCTTGCGTCTATCTCTCTCTTCTCCCTCCAAGATTTGAACTCAAGGTTTGAATCTCCCGAAGGGCTAAATTTCAAAATGTTTGGACCCCCAGCAGAAGAGAGTTTTCCCTCCAATAATTCTCCTTAAATAGTTTTTCCTTCATCTCTTCAAGAATTCTAGAAGTTGCCGCCCTTAGCTTCTTTTGGCTGCACTTTGGGCTGCTCTTGAGCTACAAATGGGCCTCCTCCTTGCTGGGCTGAATAGGCTCCCTTGGAAGGCTGCGGCTGGGCTCTCTCTTTGGGCTCTTCCAAAGAGTGCAGCATGGGCTTCATGGGCCGAATGGCCAACCTTTGACCTCTCAGCTGGGTTTTTGTTCCAACTGGGCTGAATAACCTCCAATTTAGCTCATTTTTCTTGGTTTTTTGCTTTCTTTTCTCTAAACTGGTCTCCTTGGATAAATTCCTAAAATTAAGCTGAATTAGGGTAAAACTTTACACAAATCATCACAAAAGCCATGCATAAATACCAGAATTTTATGTGCAATTTGCACACACATCAATAAGAGGTAGAAGGAATTTGCAAAAATCCGATCTAAGTAAATTTGGTTCAAATTAAACAGAACCTGGGTTCCATAGTTACCTGACATACAACTAGTCTTCCCCACAACCAAAAGAAAGCAGCCCCCAGACACATGCTATAGAATGAATGAGCTCTCACACGAGGGATGTCAATTGGACTGGATTTGGTCCAATTCGATCCAGTCCAATGTGAATCTATAACAAATGGACCAAGTCCAATCCAATCCAATGAATATTTTGGACTAGTCCATGTCAATGTCTGGAATTCCCAATCTATTCAAATTCAATTTAATAAGTGGCCTCATTACAAACCAAGAGCTTGGTGATCAAGGTCATTACAAATTGTAAGTGGCCTCATTACAAACTGATAAGCCGAAAGGATCAGCTCTTTCTGATTATATTCTCGTTTTTTCCCTTCCCAAAATACTGAATGCATGTGTTAGCAAAGCTGTTTTCACATGGAACTAATCAGGAGTCGTTTGAATTAGGAACTATAGAAGCAGCAAGGTGCTCACGACCAATAGAAAAATCTGAAAAACCAAATAAGGAAAAGTTTGAGATGAATCTAGTGCTAAAAATCCAAATATAACATTTGACTAATGGTTGGATTATTGAATAACTGCCAATGCTTTGGATTTTTTTTAATATTTGAAAAACTAGGACAATCGAAAGTTAACTCTTAAAAAAACAGATAAGTTATTTTTTAATATAAATAGATAAGTTTATAAAAATAATAACTCTTATAGTATATGAAAAACTAGCACAACCGAATCCTTCATGATCCATTATATAATGTTTTCCTAAATTTATAAAAATAATAACTCTTAAAATATATGAAAAACTAGCACAACCGAATCCTTCATGATCCATTATATATTTTTTCCTAAATTTATAAAAATAATAACTCTTAAAATAGCCATCCATCGATCAACAATACATAGAAAAAAGAAAGACAGAATGTGTTACCTCAAGCCAAAATACAATGTTTTGTTGTTTGAGATGACCTGAAGCAAAAAAAATAAAAAATATCAACAAAAAAATAGTATATATGAGATCAATAGAACAAAAAAATGGTTTGAGACAACCTGAAGCAAAAAAATATATATATATATATCAACAAAAAACAGTAGATCTGAGATCAATAGAACAAAAAAATGGTTTGAACGTCAGATCTAAGTTCGCATAAATGTCCGGTGAACAAACAAATGCTAGATCTGAGTTCATATTCATGTTGATGTCCAAATCTGGAACAAACAAATGCCAGAAGCCAGATCTAGAGCTCCAAGCCAGATCTAGAGCTCCAGCGAACAAACTGGCGATGAGAAAGGAACTAGCGAATTCAAATGCCAAAAGCCAGATCTGGATGACCAAGTATAGACGGAACTGGCGGTTAGATTTGGAGGGGAACCCATCCAATGGAACAAGACAAAAATGGTATAGAAATGAATTGAAACGATGAGAGTATGCTAGATCGAAACTTACTTGAAGACAAAAATGCCAGAGACGGTGCAGGAGATGTTACCATTGGACGGCTGGAAGGAAGGAGATGAAGTCTGGTAGGTCCCTCTTGACAATACTTTCTCACGATTTGCCTTTCTCAGCGGGGAGACCTCACCTATTGATTATTGGGAACTCGCGACCCAGTTTTTTCTCCTCCTTTCCCAGGGCTTCCTTAAACAAATGCATGCAAAAGGGAATATTCCCCAAAGATGCTTCCCTTTCCATGCGTTTCTCGGCAACCAAACATACCATAACTACATCTCCATCTCCAGATGCAGAATCAGAGAAGAGTCTCCAACATGAACCGCCCTCGGATCTTTCTTCAACCTCCGAGAAAACATGCTTCTCCCCCTCTCCACCCTCTCTTCTAGATGGAAACCCCACGGAAAATTAAAGCAACCCAACCAGGGAGTTTTAGTAATTACAAACTAGAAGGTAAGTTTTAATAAATATGCAAAACTAGAGGGGATGTCTAAGTAAATAATCCTAAATAATAAGGAAAGTTTATGATGCAAGAAATGTATGGTAAAGCAAAAGTCGTAAACCAGTGATAAAACCATATATCATCATAGCTCATGATATCTTTAACATTGTTTTTGTCTCCAAGGTAAATACACTTTGTAAAGCCTGAAATTACATCTTGTGAAAAGTTAATCTATACTACTATTAAAAGTGTAAATAAGGTTTAGATAGATTCTGATTTTTTTTTCTACTAAAATACCTTTACTCTAAATTTGATCTCCTTATAAATGCCAAAAATATAATTTGAACCACTACTTTTATTAAATTCATTATCATCGTCGTTGAGTCCTATATTTAAGGTATTAAATCTCATTTCCTTTCATTAAATCTTATATTTAAGGCACAATAAATAAATGAACTTTGTGGACTTTTATTGAATAAAAGACCCCTATTTATGAATTTAATCCCTCTTTAACTATATAAACAAAAAAATGTAATTTAAAGTACTATTACTTTCCACTTCATTAAATTTCCTCTCATTAAGGTATTACCTCTCATTCTTTCCCCTTAGGCTTCATTTGGAAGGAGTACAAATACAAATATGTAGAGCTCAAAACCTTATATTTTGTATGTATTTGTACTGTACATATTTGTATTTGTAGTCCTTCCAAACTGTGCCTTAGATACTTTGTTTGAAGTATTTTTTGTTTCTCACCAATAAATTCTACAAAGTAAATATATTTTTAATATTTTTAATAATGTAAAACCTATGTTCAAAACCAATATGAAAAATAATTAAATAAACCACTCTTTTGACTGAGTGGCAAGTAAATAGTTCAACAACCAATGTTCTCATAGTTAAATAATAAAACTTAAAAAATAAATATAAATATAAAAACTACAAAAATTGTGAAAAAATTTAAGCACATATCTAATATTAACTATTTATCATATTAAACAACATTAAGCATGCTAAATAAAAGTATTTTTATTTGATGGAAATGAAATGCAAGATTTAAAAGTTACCCAAAAACTAAACCATTTTGCTATTTGAGTGGTGGGTCAATGATTCAACCTTTTAGGTCAAATGGATCAAGACACAAAATTTATTAAAAACATAGAAATTTTGTAAAAGAAAAACATTTGGGTGCATCTTTATTATTAAGTATCCAATCATATTAAACTAAAATAAGTGTTATAGATAATAATTATTTTTATTAATGATAGAAATAGAACTAAAAACTAAACTAGTTAACTTAAAAAGAGAACTATTGTTGTATTTAATTAATGGTTAATGGTTCATAGGGAGGCAAATTAGGTGGGCTTAACTAGAGGCCAAATTGACCTAGTTTCAAAATTTTATATTTCTAGGCTAGCTTCAATTTCAATGCAAGTTGGAGGTTAGGCCCAAGTTGAACAAATAAGGCATGACTTGGTCTAAGGCCTTAAGTCCAATGCATAGGGTTAGGGCTATGTTAATCTTAAATTCAGCCCAACCTACTTGACTTGCACCACAATGGTCCAATCGTTTGGCTAAGTGAGTTAACCAATGATGTCAAAATTACATAATAAAAATTTTAAAAATAGATAAAAACACAAAAATAAAATAAAAATACATAAAATTTATAGAACATTTTGAAATATCAAAGACATTATAAAGTTATCATATCAAACAAAAATAAGTGTGATAAACAAGAATTTATTTTAGAATTAATTATGCAAATGAAATGAAAAATTTTAAGTTGCCCAAAAATGAGATTGCTTTTTTTCCAAGTCAAATAGGCCAGAACATGGTGTCATAATTATATAATGAAAACTCAAAAAAAATAGATAGAAATAAAAATATAGAAAACACAAAAAATTTGTGGACATCTCTAATATCATATATTTATCATATTAAATTAAATAAATATGATAAATAAGAAGTATTTTATTAACAACGAAAATAAAGTATAAAATCTAAATACATCAACAAACCACAATTTCATTGCTTATCCTTTTTAAATGGTTCTAATAAAAATATTGAAATTATTAATATTATCTTAAATTACCACATACAATGCACAAGCATATTTACTAATAATGAAAAATAGATCATGCAACATCATTGTCATCTATATCTATCTAAAGAACGTTTTAATTAAAACATTTAATACTTATTTAATTATTATAATGAAATTATGTAATAACTACAAAATAATTATTAATAACACAAAAAGTAACGAAATTATGTGATGATTTAAAAAATTTCTTAACATTAGAAAAATAATTATAATTGATTTCATAATATTTGAATTAATAATAATTTTATATTTTACAAAATTAATATTGAAAAAATTAGATAATGGTATTATTTAAATAATTAAATATTATAGAAAATAACTAATTTCCAAGCACTTTAAACATAAAAAATTAATAACTAAATATTATTTCAAAAACAAAAAATAGATTAAATAACCAAAATATGTTATAACTTTAAAAATTTAACAAAAACAAAAAAAGTTATAAATAGATTTAATAATATTCAATAATAAGAATACAAAATATAAATAATTGAAAAAAAATATTAATTAAATAGACAAAGTAGATTAAATAACTTAGAGGTATTGAAGTTTTTTATTACTTATTTATTATATTTCTGTTATAAATATATTCTCAGTGATTATGTATTTTCGCTATGGATTTTCAACAATTACTGCATATTAAACTATTGTTATCTATTAGAGATTAGACTATTAATTTATTAGTTATTTATTCGGTTGTAGATTGCTTAGCAAGCCAAACTTATTTGGTTGGGTTGGGGAGTTGGTCACTCAAAATTGACCAACCATTAGTGAAAACCGACCAACTTGAGTTGTATCAACCAATGTTTGAAAAACCAACCCGGAGATTGACTCGCTTTTGCATTTGGTTCATGGTCACTGGCTCAATCGTTCGAGATGAATGGATCAGACCGTTCCACGTCAACACTCTATATATTTAACTTTCGCTTAACAAAGTCCGTGCATGTAATAGGTCCCCACTAGACCTGGAACTAAGGTCAGGTGACGGTTTGAACTGTTCAATCGGTCAGGTCAATGGTAGGTTAAGAACATTGGTATCGATTTGGGTTAATTTTATTTTGGTTGGTCAATTCAAAAGATTTAAACTTAAAAAATTAATTTAGAAATTAAATTAAATTTAAAATATTACAATGATATTTTTAAAAGAATAAATTTAAAAATTTAAATTTACAATATAAAATATTTTAGACTAAGAGATATGGGAAATTTTCCATTTTCCTGTATTAAAAAAATTATATATATATATATATTGTTAGACAGTTATGCCCTTAGCCCCAATCAAATTAATGTATCTTTTGACATTTATTGTAAATGAATAAAGTACATAATTGATTCATGTCATTGTGTTGTGTTTCTGTGTAATACCCTTAAACTGGACACTTATGAGACTCGTGTTAGTTTAGAATCTTCACAGCCGTTGGATAGATCTGCGAAGATTTATCCTACCAAGGCTAACACTGATGTGCCACCAAGTTGGTTGGGATGGCTTGTCTCAGCTTCCAGGGTGAGACCTAAGGTACATGCAGTGTGGGTTTTCTTGAAACCTTGAACCGGACCAAATTCCAATATTGCGTTGGACCTTGGAGATAGATGGGCCAAACTGGAATGTTACACCTGACCCCTAGACTCGATTATGGTACTACATAAGTGTCAGATCGGTCTGTCTTTGATATGCCAATCAGTGAGATCTTTAGAGGGGGTCAAAACCTGGGTATGTTGGGATAGTCTGAGAATTCACCTGAGTGGGTGATCATAGTGACAAGATCAGCCCCTTTGTCGGACAAAGTGAATGATCGGGGAATGCACTCTCTCTAATGGAAACCTAAACTGTCGGTAGTTGATTTCAAATGTTGAAATTTGTTTTTTGCAAAATATATTTATATAGAGATATACATACATACATATATATATATGTAGCACTGTACCTTGCAATCAAGGGAGAGGTCCTCTCTTGTCGGTAGTGTTTGATCATTATGGGCTGAGAGGTTAAGTGTAAGACCATTGAGGGTAATACTTGATGGGCTAATCTTGCATCTGCCCATAGTTCTTAGGTTTTCATAAGGTGGTTGAATCCATGAACCATTTAGTGTAAATGTTGGGCCCATTAGGAGCCCATGGTAATGGACTCAGGGGTTCACTGTCTCCTATAGTGAATTCGGCCAGGCCTTGTAACAAAGGCTGGGCTGAAACCATGTGGCTGATGTGTAGATCGATGTAAGGGTCCCACGCCATACAAAGAGAACCAATTAGGCAGCAGGTTAAGGAGTAAGTGAGCACATAAGCTTAATGGGCCTAAAGCCCAATTCGAACTGGGCTTAAGTTAGTTAATTACAAGGGGCAAGATCTGATTTATAATCTGATTAGGATTAGCTAAAGGATAAGATAAAGTCTTATCCATTTAAGAGTCCAGATCCAAATATCAAATTTGGATCAAGAAACTCTCTCCTAATTAGATTAGGAGGCTGATCCAAAGAAGATTATAAATAGGGGCGAATTCCTTAATTTTACACATAATAATCTGCAGAATTCTCTCCTATTCTTGCCATCCCTACCTAATTCGATCTTCTCTTGTGGAATTGATCAAGAAAGGTTCTTGATATTGTTTCTTGGTTAAAAAAACAATTTGAAGTCGTGCTCACCAGCCCCTGTTTGATTCTTGCTGAAGAATCCTGGTTCTTGCTAAAGAGTCATCCTGCTAATCCTGCTTCATCACACACTGTGTCATCTTCAGTGGAAGCGGCTTTTAGTCTTCTCCTTGGGCGTGAACACCTTCATTGGGAGTTACTGCTACTTCGTATCAGGTATATCCCTCTCCTCCCTTTTGGTTTCAGATCTGGTCCGATTTGGATTCAAGAACGAACCTTGAAAATGCATTTTTCTAAATTAGGGAATGTGATTCCTAGATGAGAAAAAAGAAATTTTTGAAATTTCGCCCAACCTTCCTGCAGGGTTTGGCCATCCATATGATGGATCTCCCATCCCTTCATATATATATATATATATATATATATATAAAAGACAAGTGACTCCTTCACCGCGCCATCAAGCATCTTCCACCGTGCCATCAGAGTGCCTACAGCGTGCCTTCATGGTGTCATCATGTGTGTCATGGGTGGGCTATGTATCTTGTAAGGGGGGATTGCCAATGGCATTATTGTAATTACTTAGTATGATTTTTCTCTCTTTTGATGTTTCCTTTTGTCACTCCCCCAAAATCTTAACGTACTCTTTGAGGGGAGGTAGGTAGTCGAGTGAGTCAATAGCGTGTAAAGGTTAAGCACGAAATCCCCTCGACACTGAACTGTGTGCTTGTGCTTACTATCAATTAATGCAATACAAGCTGCCTTTTGTCTAATTCGTGTGCCTTCTTGTTGCCTTTTGTGTGGTGTTGCTTGCATTTGTAGGCTTTCTCGACCCCATCAAGCATCGCATGGGGCCTCGTTGACTATATATATACATCGGGTCGATTCAATTTTGGTCAATTTACAAAATTCAAAACTAACCCAACTTGGTCGGGTTGGGAAATTATCGAACCGAAACTGACCAGAAATACTAAAAAGTGACCAACTTGGGTTGAGTGGGGTCAGTTTGGTCAATTTCATCGGTTTGATGAACAACCCTAGCTGGAATTAATTATTGTTATTTTAGTATTACAAAAAAATTTAATATATATATATATAGCAAGACAGTCCACGTTACCATGCCTCTCCTTGCTCCAAACTCCCTTCCTAATTTCCTATTTTTTAGAATTTCTTATTTTTTAATTCTACATAATTACCCATTAAACCAATAAGGAAATAACATAGGCTTAACTATTTCTAATAACCATAAAGAAAGAGGGGATTTGTTAAACCAAAGCTAATAAAAAATACCAGAAAACCAACCAACTTGGGTTGAGTTTGATCGGATTAATTATTAAAAAGTTTATATTATATATATATATATATATATATATATATATATATATATATACTCTTACGTATTTCTATTGTTTAGCTTTCGCTTAACAAAGTTTGTGCATCGCACGGGTCCCGCTAGTATATATATTATAAAGTAGAGCTTTCAAAGTTAGATGGCATCCCTTTGCTCTATTACTCAAACTGAGTAATTCTAGAGGGGGTGCAAGATTCCCTCTAGAAGCCCATGAAGTTGCCACATGACATGACAATCTCCCTTTCCCACCCCTAATGGAAACGTATAGTCTCAAATTTGTTTAGTTCTTAATCCTCACTTTCCAATTACCTAAAAATCTTCCTAAAATCTCTCTCTCTCTCTCTCTCCACTCCCCTAAAACCTCTCCAAACCATTAGGAAACTTCTCCAATTTTCATGCTACCCTTAGTGCACCTTCTTTGTCTATTTTATCCTACCGCGTTTATCGTCTTTCCATTTTCTTCTTCTTCCTCTCAATGTATTCCTCTTTACTCTCTCTTCTCATCAAACTGCCACATCTTAGATAACACATTTTAAAAGAAAGTTACATAAACATGACCCATTAAATATAATTATTGCCTTTAATCAAGTATGGTTACATAGCTAATTAATAAATAATTTAGTTGATTAGCTAATTAAAGTATTACCTAATGAAATTGAGAAACATAACTGATGATTAGAGGACACATGGATGTAGCCCACCAATTGGACGATGATTCAACACTTCGGTCACCTCGGAGAATCGGGCCACCTCGGCGAGTCGAGACACTTCAGGAATCCTGGTCACCTTGGATAGCTCCAAACTTCGGGTACCTCGGATGCCTGAGACTGACAAAGCAACACGTAGCAGATTCTAGAAGCTTGCCAGCTGTCTCCAAGCCCTCCGGGATCATGACGCGGAACTATAGGCCTTATCCTCATCCCGCCCAAATTGGATGGAGACGATGAGCTTTATTGGCCGACACGTTATCCACCTTTTGGAGCGGAACAGACTCCTACCACCCGGTCCGAAAATCCTGGAGAAGGCTCCTTGGGGCACACGGCAGCTCAACTATATAAGGGCATTAACCCCATAACATAAGGTACACGCGATTGTTTTGCTCACTAGCTCTCTTGCACTCAAGCATTCAGCTCGCTACTAGATCACAATACTAACTTAAGCATCGGAGCGACCTCGCCAGATTAGCCACCCCGGGTTCTCTAATCCATTTCTTGCAATTTTTCTAGCTCACTAAGAGGCCAGTGCCAACGTGACATTCCAGTTAGGAGCTCTCAGATCGCGCACATCAATTGGTGTCGTCTATGGGAACGATTGAAAGGTCAAGTTTTCTACCTCACTATTTCATTCACTCGATGGCTTCTCCAAGCAACACCGAAAAGAGCGCCGACATGACCGTCTCTGGGGGGCAGGAGCAGACTACTGCTAGCCAAGAGTTCCCCATAGTCTGCATCGGCTAGTTCACTATACCCCTCACTGTCTCGAGGATCCCTACTATACCAACTCAACAGACTCAACATCGGACCCAGCCATTGAACATTCCCCTACCCCAAGTAAGCACTACTTTCTCTGTGTCGAAGCCCTTTGTGGTCCCTCCTGGGGTCGGGCACCAACAATTCAATGAGCTGGTTCAGACTGTCCAAACCATGTAGCTGCAAATGCAACAAATCCACCAATTCCAACAGTTCAAACAATACTACTTCTACCAACAATACCAACAGCAGTTTCCACCACTGCAGCCGAACCAGCATCAAAATCAGAATCAAAATCAGAACCAGAATCAGCATCGGGCCCATGTTTAGTAGCACCACCAAGATGTACGCCAATCTCCTCCTCGGAGTGTGGGAAACTCACAGGTCCCAATCCCTCCCCGGGACTGGACCCCACCTCAGGGTAGAGTTGACGGTCAGCGTACACCCCAACCTTCTCAGAGAGGAAACCCTAAAGACAGGCCTAAAGTCAGCTAGCATACGAGGACTAATCAGCAACAGCACTCGCGGCCTGAGAATCACGGGTCGCAAGCCAACAACCACCACCTCGGGGCAAGAGGCGCGGGCTCGAGACAAGACCCCTCTGCCCCCCATAATAGTCAGCATCAAGTTCACGATCGAGAAGACGTCGGAGGTAGGAACCCACTCCCACCCCGTGACAGCATACGGGAACAGGAACGAAACCGAGTCAAAATACCTGATAATACTGAGGTCAACAACACTAATGTAGAGGCAATAAAGAAGCAGCGAAGACGTCGCAAGACGCACCGGTCTTCCACCAGAAACAATCCACCACCAAGAAGCAATTAGCCACTACAACCGAACAAGGTGAGGGGGAAGTGAGCTCGGTAGCTACACAGCCGACTCCGGCATTGTTGAGTCGGCCCTGCCCCTTGTCACCCGAGATAGTAGTGGCTCCGAGGCCAAAAGGCTTCAAGACACCACTCTAGAGACATCCGATGGGAAGTTCGACCCTAATGATCACGTCGATGCGTTTCAGTCGCAAATGCACCTTGCCGGAGCAGACGAGGCGTGCATGTGCGTGGCCTTCTCCACCACTTTCAGAGGATTAGCCAAGCAACGGTATAGAAACATCACACTAGGCTCGATCAAAAGTTGGGCTTAGTTCGTTGACATGTTCACTGCCCATTTCGTCACTAGTAAGAAGTGCCCAAAATCACAAGAAAGCCTTCTGAATGTGGTCGAGAGGAAGAACGAACCAATTCAAAGCTACATCAAGCATTTCAATGAAGAATGTCTACAGATACCTGACCTTGATCCTGTCGTGCGCCTCACTGCAGCACGAAAGGGAATAAAGCACAAGGAGTTCATGTGGTACATCGGAGTACATTGCCCAAGGACGATTGAGGAGTTCCTTGACCTTGCCGAGCGATTCATGAGTACAGAAGAAGCTCTCGGCCCAAAGGCAGAAATCCAACAAGGTGAGAAGAGGAAGAGACAAGACGAAGGAGCAAGCAGCAACAAGTACAGGCGAAAGAAGAGTAAGTCGCCGAAGAGAAGTAAGTCTCCCTGTCAAAGAAGCAAGTCACCATCTAGGGGTTCTACGTCAGGTCGGCAATCTAGGACCCCTCCTGTTAAGAGAACATCTTACACCCCCCTCAATGCAAAGCGAGGTGAGATCCTGATGGCGATCAAGGATTATTTGTTTGTCAAGTGGCCACCTAGGATATGGGGAGATCCGGTGACCAAGAACTTGAATGTCTACTATGACTTTCATTGCGACATCGGGCACAACATTGAGAACTGCCAGAACCTTCGCGACGAGATTGAAGAGCTGATCCACCATGAGTATTTGAAGAAATACATTAAGCATGAGAATAGGGAGTCATCAAACTGACAAGCCGACCAGAGTAGGGAAGTCCCGGAGTCAAGCCAAAGGAACGACCAGCCATCTTGGCAACAACCGTCACCTGAAGATAGGCCGATCTGCGGGGTAATCAACATGATTACCAGTGGGTCCATTGTTGTGGGATGCACTATAGTAGTAGGAAAGACTTCAGTTCAGGAGTTAGAGCAAGAAGCGGAGAACCCACCGAAGTGACCTCAGGTGGAAGAGCCAATCTCCTTCACTAAGGATGATGTGCATGGGATACAATACCCGCATGATAATGCCTTCGTCGTTAATCTTGTGATCAACGACTTCAAGGTAAAGCAGGCTCTAGTAGACTTAGGGAGTTCAGCAGACATCCTATTCCTAGAAGCCTTTGACAAGTTGTAGTTACAACGAAGTGACATGAAGCCGGTGGATTCACCCTTGGTGGGGTTCAATGGCGAAGTAGTCAAGCCCCTCGACCGAGTGACAGTACCAGTTGCAACAGGAACATGGCCAAACTTAGTGCGCTTTGAGCACACATTTCTAGTGGTCATGACCCCATCCTCCTACAACACGATTCTAGGTTGACCTGTTCTATATGCCCTGCGAGCAGTAGTGTCCACCTATTACCTATCGATGAAGTTCTCGATGAACTGCAGAGTGGGGGTAGTACGAGGTGACCAGCTAGAATCGTGCAAATGCTACGTGGCAGCGTTGAAGGGCAAGGAAAAGTTAGTAGAGGATGTCGAATTAGAATTACCATCTGAACACATAGAGGAGTGAGTTTCCCCAATGAAGGAGATAGTCCATGTACCGGTTTCCGAAGCGGAGCCGACGAAGACCCTCCAGATTGGCACTCTACTAAGCAAGCCATTTCGGTCGCAACTAGTAAGTTTTTTACTCAATAATTTAGATATTTTTGCGTGGTCTATAGCAAAAATGCCCGATATTGACCCTAGTGTGATTACTCACAAGCTTAATGTGGACACTTTAGTCAGGCCAATTAGACAAAGAAAACATAACCTCGCCCTGGAGCGGTGGAGGGTAGTTAACAAGGAAGTCGGGAAGCTCCTCGCAGCAGACTTCATTAGAGATGTCCATTACCCGAGCTGGGTGGCTAATCCCGTGCTTGTGAAGAAGGCCAATGGAAAGTGACACATGTGCATCGACTACACCGACCTCAACAGAGCCTACCCGAAGGACTGCTTCCCCTACCCAGAATAGACTGCCTGGTAGACGCGACCTTGAGGCATGAGTTGCTGAGCTTCATGGACGCCTACTCCGGCTACAACCAGATTAGGATGGACGTAGCCAATCAGAACAAGACTACATTTGTAACCGAACTAGGGTTGTATTGTTATAAAGTCATGCCCTTTGGATTAAAAAATGCTGGAACAACCTTCCCGCGCCGTGTAAATAAAGTTTTTGAACCCCTTATTAGAAATAAAGTAGAGTGTTATGTTGATGATATGGTCGTGAAGACCCAGTTTTTGAACTCTTTAATTGACGATCTAAATTGTGTTTTCCAAATTCTAAGAAAATTTAACATGAAGCTCAACCCGAACAAGTGTGTCTTTAGGGTCATGTTGGGCAAGTTCCTTGGTTACATAGTAAACCGGTGTGGCATCGAGGCCAACCCGAACAAAATTAAGGCTATATTAGATATGAGACTACCCCAAAAGTTAAAAGAGGTCCAAAGACTAACTGGCCGAGTAGCCACCCTATGTCGATTTATGTCTAAGTCGGCGGGTTGGTGCCTACCTTTCTTTAAAGCAATAAAAAAGAATACAGACTTTGTGTGGACCAAAGAGTGCCAACTCGCATTTGACAAGCTGAAAAAATATCTAAGTACCACATCGGTTTTGACCCAACTTGAGGAAGGTGACGAGTTAAGCTTGTACCTCTCCGTGAGCGATGAGGTAGTCAGCTCGGTATTAATCAGAGAGGTAGAATGGGTCCAACAGCCCATCTACTATGTGAGTAAAGTCTTGCAGGCTATAGAAACCAGATATCCCAATATTGAAAAGCTAGCGTATGCGCTGGTAATATCAGCTCGGAAGCTACGCCCATACTTCCAAGCCCACACAATCGTCGTTCTCACCAACCGACCGTTGAGGTACGTTTTATTGAAGCCCGAGGTGTTTGGGAGATTGACAAAGTGGGTCATCGAGCTGAGCAAGTACGACATCCAGTTTGAGTCATGTCCAGCAATCAAGGCCCAATTCTTGGCGGAATTCATAGCAGAATGTATATTCAGCATGCCGGCCCCTGAAGTAACTGAGTCAGCTGGCATGTTGGAGGTTTTGACTAGCACGGCATTGGCCTCGGTAAGAGGAAGTCCGACCTGGAACGAGGAGCCCTGGATCCTCCATGTAAACGGATCGTCTAATCAACGAGGAAGCAGAGCTGGATTGATACTATACGGGAAGAGCAAGGTGAAGTTGGAGTATGCTCTCCAGTTCAGATTTGAAGCATCGAACAATGAAGCAGAGTACGAGGCATTGATTATCGGGCTAAATCTAGCAAAGGAAATCGGCGTAAAGCACTTTGTAGTGTGCAATGACTCCCAATTGGTGGTGAATCAAGTCAATGGTGATTACGAAGCTCGAGATTCCACCATGGCAGCTTACCTAGCCAAGGTACGGGAATTCTTGCCATGTTTTCTTTCTTAGTTTATCAGGTAAATACCGAGATCTGAGAACGCCGAGGCCGATGCCTTATCACGATTAGTGAGCACAAGTGACAGCACAATGTGAATGGTATACATAGAAGACCTGCCTTGGCCCAACATTCACTAGGGGGCAGAAGAGGGTGCTCCCGTGTTGCAAGCGGAACCGAGCTAGATCGATCTACTTGTTGACTATCTACTCCACGAGATCCTACCAACAAATCGTAATGCAGCTCGTAGGGTAGAGCATCAATCAACTCGGTGTGTTATTATCGACGGGTGACTGTACATGAGGTCCTTCACACTCCCCTACCTGCGTTGCTTGCGACCTTTAGAAGCAGATCGGGTGCTCCATGACATCCAGAAAGGACTTTGCGGAGGACACTTGGGGGGTAGAGCACTAGCCCAAAAGGCACTAAGACAAGGGTACTACTGGCCCACCATGAAAGCAGACACACTCGAGCTCATCAAGAAATGCAATAACTGTCAGAGGCACACAAACATCCTTTATCAGCCCGTTGCTGATCTGAAATATCTGACCAGCTCATGGTCGTTCGCATAGTGGGGGATAGACATCCTCGGACCATTCCCACTAGTAACCGAGCAGAGAATATTCTTGGTCATAGCAGTGGACTACTTTACGAAGTGGGTGGAGGATGAGCCATTGGTGACAATCACAGCTCGGAACGTGCAAATTTTCTTTTGGAAAAACATAGTGTGTTGCTTCGGACTATCCAAGGTGTTGATTTCGGACAACAGGAAGCAGTTCAAAGATATCAAGTTCCAAAACTGGTGTGATGTGATGGGGATTCGACAAAATTTCATTTCGTTTGCACACCCCCAAGCGAACGGACAGGCCGAAGTGACGAAAAGGGTGATCCTCCAAGGACTAAAAGCTCGCTTGGTGTGAGCTAAGGGGCTATGGGTGGATAGGCTGCCTAGTGTCCTCTGGGCATACCGAACTACCATCAAAACTGCAACCAGGGAAATGCCTTTCAACTTGACATACGGAACGGAGGCTGTGATCCCTGTCGAGATTAAAGTACTGACCCTGAGGTTTGATGCGTACAACGAGGACGCAAACGACGACAAGCTCTGAACTAACCTGGACCTTATCGAAGAAGTACGCGACTTGGCTTATATTCGGACTATGGCCTACTAGTAGCGAGTAGCTCGGTACTATAACGCCCCGGTCAAGAGACACCAGTTCCGAGTTGGTGACCTAGTCCTCCATAAGGTGATGGTACTTGAGCTCGGCGTAGGTAAGCTCGGACCGAACTAGGAGGGTCCATACAGGGTTAGACGAGTGTTCGGAAAAGGCACGTACGAGCTAGAAACGATGGAAGGGAGGTCGGTACCCTGAGCATGGAATGTTGGCATGGGCAACATAAGACCCAGTCGCCTCTTTAACATGGGTAATATAAGACCCAGTCGCCTCTTTGGCAAGGGCAGGCGAAGGAGTAGCTCGTGTATAGATAGGTCGGGCACATACCCTACAATGTTGGCACACTTCGTCTCACATTGACTTCAGATTATTCCTACTTATGCTTAGCTTGTCAACTCGACACTTCAGGGTAATCTATACTTAAAAAAAATTTGCAAGGTTGAACACAAGATGGGAAGCAAAACAATATTTCATTACTTTACTAAGGAGGTCCAGTACACTTCAAAATAAAAAAGTGGGAAAAGAAAGAACTACTACTGAGCTCAGAGGCTCGGTACACATTGTATACACAAGGAGGTTCAAGAAAAGAGGCAAATTTTAGTCTTGGTGGGGCTCCTTGCCCCCTCCCTCAATGGTCTTGGAGTCTTTTGTCGGGTCTACTTCCATGGATGTGCTCGCAGCAACAACCTCATCGGTCTCAATGACCTCGTTGTCTGCCACGTCAATGTTCCTCAACTTCTCCCTAGCTTCCTCGCCAGTGGTGTCCTCACTATCCTCCTCTTTGGAGTCTGGGTCTCTCCCTCTACTTGTTCCACTATCTCCATGGAAAGCCCCATGGTAGTGAGCGGTTTGAGGTCGAACTCAGGGAAAGCACGCATGGCTGGCCAGCGACAAACTTTGAAGCCCTTGTGGAATGCCGAAGTTGTTGTCTCACTCATGAAGTTGAACTCTGAAGAAGCCTTATAAGCCCGAGCAACATGAGCACCAGCCTCTTTTAACTCTTCAGATAATATGGTCGTGCAATCAGCGAGGAGAGCCTTATGTTCTTCGACTTCTTTTTCCAGATCGCGGATGCGATTGTCCTTCAGCTTCACTTCAGCCTCCCACTTCTTTGCTAAGTCCACGGCTTTTAGTGCCTTGGCCTTACTCTCTATCACCATAGACTCCACAGACTGCAAATTGACTTCCAAG